CCAGCACGCCCTGGGCCTTGCGCTCCGCCAGGGCCTTCACTGTCTGGTATTGGTCGCCCAGTGGGCCCTGCAGCAGCTGGGGGTGTGGAGGGCAGGGGCAGGGTGGTGGCCCCGTGGAGACCCAGCCTCTGCCCTCCCCCCTGGCGGGCTCTGCCTCACCCTACCTGCTCAGCCTCCCTGGCACGACCCTGGGCATTGCTTGCTGTTTCTTCGGCCCTGGAGGCCGCCAGGCTGTTCCCTGCTCGTTTCAACTTCAGAGCCTCCAGGAGGCCGTTCAGTTGCTGAGCCCGTTGCCCTGCAGAGCTCAGCGCCTGCTCTGCTCCCGCCATCCTCTCCTGCACCTGCCGTGGGGGGGGGCTCGGGTTAACCAGGTTTCAGAGGCGTGTCCGTCACCTGGCCCCACGCCCCGCGGATGCCCCAGAGGCCACACCTGGTGCAGGGTCTGTTCCGTGTCTTGCGTATCAACCACTGCCCCCTGGATCGCCCCCTGAGCGGCCCCCTGCGCCCGCTGGGCCTCCTCCAGTGCCGCCTGCACTGTCTCTGCCTTCTGCTTCTCACCTTCAGCCCGGCTCCTGCGGAACAGAGGGCATCAGGGCCTGCAGGGTCAGGACCAGGTGCCAAGGATGGGGGTCAAGGTTGGGGTCAGACCGTGCCCGCTGCGCCTCCTGCAGCAGCCGTTCTGCCCGGTGCACATCTCCCACAGTGCGCTCCAGGATCGTGTCCACATCGGCCAGGCTCCGGACCCGCTCGGCGATCTCGGCAGCCAGGTGCTGGATCTGCTCAGGTGACGCCGGGATGGAGAGCTCCAGCACCCGGGTGGCCACCATCTCGATGCTGTCAGGGTCGGCCCCCTCCTCTGTGGGACACAGGCAGGGACTCAGGGACACCTTCCCAGCACGGGTACGGGACCAGTGTGGGGGATGGACTCGGGACTGCGCGAGGGCTGCGGGTTCGCTAATGGGCAGAAGGATGGGACCACAAGGACATGGCCAACCAGCAGGCCATGGGGCTATATGTGGCCCCAACTCGGGGCCACGGACTTGAGGGCCACAAAGGGCAAGGGCTCGGGCCTGACGCAGGATCATGAACACAGGTCCCGACCCAAGTACGAACCCAGGGACACACGTATAAACGCAGACACGGGGAAACGGCCACGTGGCCTGGCCGCGTGGGAGGCTCACGGCTCAGGAAGTCCTTCACGCTCTGGATGAGCTCGCGCAGCTCCTGGTTGGCCTGCTCCACCTGCCCCCTGGAGGCGTTGGCCTTGTCCAGGGCCGCCTGCGCCCGCTGCTGGGCCTCGCCTGCCTGCCGCCGGGTCTCTGCCACCTGGCTGAGGATGCCACCACCTTCCGCCAGGGCCCGCTGCAGCTCTGTCTGTGTGTGCCGGGCCCGACCCAGCGCCAGGTCCGCCATGGCCACCGCCCCGTTGCAGCTGAGGCCCCCACAGCGGGGCTGCCCGTCCTCGTCCCGGCACCCGGCACCCCCGCAGGGACTCGTAGCACAGGGAGCATCGCCGGGAGCCCCGCACACCTGCAGGGCACGGGACAGTCAGGGCCCGTGGAAGGAGCAGCCGCCCGGGTCCCGCCTCGCACTCGCGCCTCACCAGTTCATTTATGCCTGTCAGGCTCAGGCCGCGGGCGCGGGCAGAGAGCTCCCCCAGTGCCTGCTGGTTGGCCATGTGCTTGCGGTTGAAGTCCTCCCTCTGGGCACCCATCAGCACCTCCGTCTGGTGCCGGGTGCCTGCGGAGTGGCTCACCGGGCTCGGCACGGCCAGGGCCGATGCGTTGGCACGGCGCCCTGCCTCTGCGGACAGGCTGTGGGCCCGGCGGATGCTGTCATAGGCACCTACGTGGGCAGAGGCAGGGGTCAGCTGAAGGTCAGCCCTGGCCCCCGCACGGCTGGCCCATGCTCACCCAGGAAGTTGGAGTGCTTCAGCAGGTCCAGGTGCTGGTCGAGCTGCCGCAGCGTGAGGTTAAGTGCCAGACTGTCTCGCTCCAGACTGCTTAGTGCGTGGTTGGCATTGAAGTTCTCATCCTGCACATCTGTCAGCTGTGTCTCCAGCTGGGTCAGGTGCTCGGTGGCCTCCCCGATCTGACGCCTGTGCCAGAGGGGAAGGTGGGGTTTGCAGAGGCTTCAGCCCCGGGCCGCTGGGCCACTGCCCCTCCCCCCACCTATCTGGGCCCCGTCCGCACCGCAGCTCCTCCGTGGCCTCCAGGAGCCGGGCAGTGGAGGCGGCCGAGGTGTTGCGGGCAAGCACGATGCCCTGCACGGTGGCCAGCTTCTCCTGGATGTGCCGGAAGCTGCCCTCAAAGGCGCCCAGCACACCCGTCTGCTGCAGCTCCTTCGCCCTCTGCTCCAGGCGCCGGGTACGGGCAACCAGGTCCTGCACCACGCGGTCCCAGTCCCCAAAGCATGCGTGGCAGGGGTGGCAGGCAGGAAAGACCCCCGAGAAGCCCCGGGCACACTGGTCACAGCGCACGCCAGACACCCCCGGGCGGCAGCTGCAGTGGCCTGTGGTGCGATGACACTGAGGCGTGTCTATCCCACGAGGGTCGCAATCGCAGGCTGCAGGAGAGGGCGGACCACAGGGTTATCAGGCGCCGGCAGGCATCCGGGGAGGCCCCCATCCGCCCGGACCCAGTGGCCCCCTCACCGCGGCACTGCAACCCAGGGTCTCCCCAGTGAAGCTCCTGGCAGTCAGAACAGGTCCGCCCCCCGAAGCCGGCTCGGCAGTGGCACTGCCCTGTGAACTAGAGTGGGGGCAGGGCAGCAGTCAGAGCCTCAACCAGAGGCTGAGCCCTGGAGACCTGAGGCGGACGGCTGGTCCCACCCACCCGGGAGCCACAGGAGGTCCCGTACCTCATTGCAGGTGGGGCCTGTGGCTCGACTGGGGTGGCAGGCACAGGGCTGGCAGCCACGGCCACTGGTCAGATTCCAGAAGTTGGGGGCACAGCGGTCACAGCTCGCGCCCTGGACATTGGGGAGGCATGGGCACTGCCCACTGCTTGGGTCACAGTGGCACCGGTCTGTGGACGGGCACTGCTGGGGATCTGTGCCCAGCGGGTTGCAGATGCAGCCTGTGCCAGCCAAGATGGACAGTAGTCAGGGGAGCCTGGGCAATGCCCCCCCCCCCGCCACCCCTGCCCATCCCACACTCACGGCGACAGCTCTGCTGGGCAGCCTGTCCATGGAAGCCAGGCTGGCAGTGGGCACAGCGTGGGCCCTCCGTGTGGTATAAGCAGCGCAGGCACTGCCCCGTGTGGGGGTCACAGGCATCAGGGTCCGTGGGGTCAATGTTTCCGCTGCACTCACATGGCTGGCACCTGCCACCAGGCCTGGATGGGTCCCCAAAGTGCCCGGGGGCACAAGCCTCGCACCGCAGCCCTGCCCACAGTGAGGGGAGGCGTGAGTGTCCTGCCCAGCTGCCTCACCGGCCTGCGCCTGCACGGCACCCACTCACCCGT